AAACCCTGATTTTAAAAAGTGAGCTCTCAACTCTGGTATTTTCAAATAAGAGTTTAATGTGTTCCTTATGCCAAAGTAAATAAACTGACCACTACTGAGTGTACTGGCCTCAGTACTGGCATCAGAGGAAAAAACTTTAATATTATTATTAGAAGTTCGATCGGTACCCAATAAAGTTCTAGCATCTAGAGGTAAGTTCAATTTAGGCATCAGTGTGCTTAAACCTTTAAGTAGACTGTTTACTTGAGCAAGGTTTACATTTTGTTTGATAGTCCAATCTTTTAAAAACGTGTTTAATCTTTTTGTTAATTTTTTTCCAGAACTTTCTGATTCTGTTTCAGCATTTTTTGTGTCATCCGAATCAGAAAAATTATCAACTACATTTAAATGCTGTATCATGTGCTCGGGAGAATGCTCAATTGAGACATGCATTTCTTTATCAACGCCCATACTATCTAGGTTATTAGACAAGCTACAACCAGCAATACTATTTTCTTCAGGCAAATCTAAATTACATGGTATTTCTGATAAATCTGCAGTCTCAATGCGAAGTTTTTTTCTAAACCTGTATTTAGCACAGTACTCCGCATTTTTGCTAGATTTCTTGTTCTTACTACTCATGTTGAAAAAATATAGAACTCGATATAGAATTTATAGATAGAAATGTAGTTCCCTACCTCCTTATGAAACACAAAATAACTCTCCCTACACCACCAACCACAAAAACACTCCGTTTGCTAACTAAACAAAAACAAAAGACCAACAACCACGAAACCAGGAAACCGTAAAATATTAATTAATAACTCTAGGCTAGGTACAAAATGCAAAATGCCAAAATGCAAAATGCCAAAATGCAAAATGCCTACAAAATGGAGTCGTTCGTCGTTCTCGTTCTGTCCACACCGGCGCCCAACCACACAGACGACAGCGCGCGATGCCGTGCAACGTTGCCATTGCCTAGTATCTATATTCCTGCCTTTACAGTTGTTAACTTGGTCTGTAGGTATAGACAACTGGAGCGAATAAGTAAAATATTAATTTGTAATTTATGTTTTCATAAATTATCAGGATTTTTTAACGAAAATCACTAATCAGAGTCAATTTGATTTTAATCGCTTCGTCAATGACGTCAATCGCAGAAAAAATATCTTATTCAACCTGAAGTTTAGCCTAGAATGGCAACACGGTGAAAGATCATCCTTTGTGTAGATGTTTGCCGATTGGCGATTGGCTCGCGAAGTTCCCGTGACTTGAAAATGAAGCGAGAAATGCAAAAAAAATGACGGTTTGGAAAAAAATTCCCCGTGGCCGCGTTTATGGCAAAAATTTTTTTCGGGGTTCTAATGTTTTTTTTTTTTTTTCATTTTGTAGTTGAAATCAAAACGAGGCCACCACAGCATATTAAAATCAATAAACAATAATTATTATTATTGAGCAACAGGAACTTTATTCCCAGAAATGCCAAAAATAAGACACTTATTTGTAACATTTTTATTAAAAAAAAAAAACTCATTAGGTATGTACTAATAATTATTATGAGTACCTCCTTCATTACACATACACAAGTAGGTACATACCTACCTATACTACATGTTTAAGCATGTAGAATAATTCAGAGAATCTAATACCTAATAATTTAATAAAATAAAAAAATAATATTTGAAATATATTTCCTTTTTATTGAATATTTAATATGTTCATCAAATTATTTATTTTATCCCAATTAAATATTAAGAAAATAATATGTTTTTTGTAATATTTTATATATATTTGTTTTTGTGAAAAAATAATTATAAAATATATAAATATATTATAAATATTCGTTTAATATTTTGTAATAAATATTTTTTTAATAATATTATATACATATTATCTTTTGCTTTCCAAATATTTAGGAGACATATGAATATATAATAAATATTTAAGTAATATTTTGGGCTATTGGGGCCAGTACACTGAACCTAGTATCAGATCGTGCTGTCTCAATTCAACGGTAACGAAAGTCCCTTCTATAATGTTAGAGGGGTCAGGATTGGGCAGTTGGTATGCCTGAATTCGTTTTGATACTAGGACCAGTGTACCTCCCCCAATGAACTATAAACTACACGTACCTGGAATGGCCCGCCGATCTATATATTTGCGGCAGATTGAGATGGAGAATGTGGGGTACACACATCTCTATTTATCTTATTGGCGAATCATGGAAATCTTTCCTTGTCTAAAAAATATTTTATTCGAGGTTAGGAATATGCCAAACCTAACAACAATGAACTGGAGAGAGAAAGGGATACCCCACTATGTAGCCTTTTTGGACGCACTAAGCGAGATGACAAATGCCATACAAATGCCATATCCGACAACGGTCGGTGCCATTCCAGATACGTGTAGTATATAATTCATTGACCTCCCCCCACTGTTTCCCTATCATTGCGGAAAACGTTAAAGTTGGGGAACGTGAAGCGGTCTGAGGTTTTAACCAGGTTTCCTTGACTAGCAGAACATCAACTTTGAAGTTTTCCGCAAATCTAAGGAGCTCAATCTTCTTATGTAATATTGAATTGATGTTGATGGTCGCAATCTTTATATGACAGGGCTTCATTGACCTATCAAGTTCTTTGATGGCTCAACTGTTGGACATTTGATGACATCATTTGGGGGAGAAGCTGGACAAACTGCTGCTGCATGTTGAACATAAATTGTTGCATGTTGTCTTGCATAGACTTCAACATGGCAGCGAGTGGGTCCAGATTCCCTCCCTTTAGCGCCTGGTTGTTCTGGCTGCCCCACTGGAAGGTGCTGACCAAAGGAATGGACTGAGCTCTGGCCTGTGTGATTTTTGCCCTTATGGCTGTTGGATGTTTTGCGCAACCTGAGAAGGAAGCAGGGTGCTCCCCTCCGCAGTTTGCGTAAGTTGGTTTCTCAGTCCGTTCTTTCGGGCATTCCCCCGTCAAGTGACAGTCTGCGCACTTGACGCATTTGGGTGGGGCAGTGCATTTTAGCGAGGAATGTCCAAACAGTTGGCATCTGTGGCAGTGGGTGAAACTGGCCCTCGTTTTTTGAGATTCTACTTTTACAGCCATAAGTTCTACGTATTTAATATTGAAGATATTTTTTTTTGTGTTTTTGGCAAAACAACGAGGACCAGTGCCATCGGGTCGCCACTTTTGTGCGAGAAACGCCTGATTGACTGGGGACTGAAGCTCTGTCTCACCAGATCATATTTCACTCTTTCTTCCGTCCAGAGTTCGGGAACTCCACGTATTTCTACGTGAAGGTTCTTTTCCTCTGGAAAGGAGAGGGGATCTTGGTGTCCTGCATAAATGATGTTAGTTTATGATAGTCGGATGGCTCGGAATGCTGGATTTTGATGCCTTCCGCGACATTCTTCAAGATGATGGTTTTAATATTGTGAGCTTAAATATAAGAGGCGACCTGATCGTACTTGGCCTTGTCCCTAAGAATCACAGGGGGAACACGGTGTCTACTGGTAGGAGGGTTGGTGGGGGCTACTGGGGGGTTGTTTCGAGTATTGGTGGAATTTCTAGGGGTTTGGGAGACGGGATTTATGAGGGTTTGGGTGTTGGTACCGTGAAAGGGAGTAGGGGAAAATCAAGGAGATTTTGAGAGAAGTTTGGGCGGTTGGATTGGCGGTTTTTCCTCCTTCTCTTGGAACTGCTGCCCTTCACCGTGGTGAAAGCCTCCCCTTCCGCAGCGGAAGCAGAGTCGAGCTCCATCTCCGACTCGGCGGCGGACGTCGCCGGTTCGGATGGACCACGACTCTGATCACGCGGCGCAGGGGCGGATACCACGACGGTTGGTTCATTGATATTCTTAAGTTGATGGTTTAGAATAGATTCAAGTTGATTGGAGAGATGAATGATTTTATTATTTAGGTTCAAAATGGTTTGATCTTGAAGTGTAGATTTCGAGTCAAGCTCAGCAATGGTTTTATTTAGGTTATCATTTTGTGACTCTAGTTAGTTAATTTTATCAGAGAAGGAGGAGTTGATTGTTGTTAAACTAAGATTTTGGGAGGATAAGTCAGCAAGTTGTTCCACTAACCTGTTATTATTGGATTCAAGTTTCTCGCTCTTCGTCTTGAACTGAGCAGCCACTGTGCCCAATAAACACAGTTACATAATTTCAATGTAGGAACTTATAGAACTATTTTACTTGGTGATATAAATTTAGAGTATTATCTAGGTCACAAGAAGGTAAAATTTCACTTAAATGCACTGCATAACGCCGTAATTTTGCACTCTCAATTTTACATCACATTGATATCTGCCATGCCGTAGGTTGAATAAATTACATACATTTTATGTAAGTTTTCAACGTAAATATTATTTATTTTGACATAATATTTACGTCATTGTTAAATTAATAATTAACGTAGTTTTGACATCCATTATTTACGTCAATATTACATAATAATAATATTGATAATTGGTAATGTTTAACAATTATTAAACACCCCATTTTTTTGTAGTGAGTCTACATGAAAACTATGTTTTCTATAAACTTAAATTCCTTACATTCTTCTAACCGTTGTTCATAACTTGGGCAGAGAGTACCTACTTACTAGATGTATTTTTACAAGGAATCAAAAATGATCTGGATTCAAGGTGGGCATATAAAATGAAAATAGGATATCATGTCTTGAATTGTTATCAATACAGATTATAACAATATACAATTTATAAGCACTTTTTGATCCAAATGATATATGGTATTCCAGTACATATATTTATTTATTCCGAGTTTATTGGTCTGATGAGTGTTACTTGCAAAATGTAAAATAGCTGATACGCATTTTTTTGTTGGGAAAAAGGTGAAATGTGACACTTAAACAGCATATATTATTTTAAACAATATATATTTCCAAACCAGATTAAAATATGAAAGTACAGACATATTTTTGGGGTGCATTGCACAATAATGAAAATAATATCTTTTCTCAGAAAAAAACTTTAAATTGAATAAATATTCTGTAAATATGTGGAAAAACGATGAAAAATAAAATAAAAATAAATATTCTGTAAATACTTATGTGGACAAATGATGAAAACTAAAAAAAAGATAAATATATTCTGGACTAATGATGAAAAATAAAATAAAAATCAATATTCTGTAAATATGTGAACAATTGATGAAAAATAAAATAAAACGAAATATTCTGTAAAGTTGTGGACAAATTATGAATATGAGAATGAGATTATCATTTCCAAAAAAAATCTAAACTAAGCCGGAGACTAAACTAGCACTCTAATCATTTCAAAAACACATTTATTTTTTTTCTAATCTCTTCAGTCTTTGGTTGGCCAGACGGAACCACTCTCCTATATGTTTTTCCACATTTTGTAGTGTGGCTGAGTGCTGTACAACTAAAACATCTAAAAAAAACTTACCGTTAATCGAAACAATAATATAGCCCTTAAAGGACATATTAAACTGAAATAAATAAAAGTGTGGGAATTTCTAATATGTAATTACAAAAAAAATTAAGTAAAACATTACGTACTTACCAATTAAAATCTGCATGAAATTGAATTGCTGCAACTTAAAATTGCCCCTAAGTCCCAAATATGAAGATTCTTTTGCAAACTCATTTGTAAATAATTTTGGTAAACACCTATTAATATGATCCTTGGCATCTCTTCCTCCAATGCGTTTAATAAACTGTGCCTAAAAAAAATCAACATATAATGTACGGTTTATTAAAATTCAATCAAAACAATTTAACAATTCTTTCTTAAGATTTATTTATCTACTGATTGACACTAATTTTGAAGATATGATTTATACTTACAAAGGTATTCTTAACTTCCGCTTTTGTATTCAGTAATGTGTCAAATGCCCGTACAGACTCCTGAGAATTTAGAGGCAAGTTTTTTTCCAGATTTTTTATAACGTCGTTGACCAGAACCTTTCCCTGATTGGATGTCATGTCTTTCAATCTATTGTCTATACTGATCACATATTTCTGTACATTATTGCAGGTTATTGTAAGATTTTCTAGAATAAACTCTAAGTTACTAATACCTAGTGCAATATAAATGTCAATTAATCTATTAACTTACTAATTGTGGCCATAAATTCATCTAGTTGAGTTCCTAAAAGTCAAAACATGTTATGTGATACATGAAGGTACTTTTTGGGAATATTTGGTAGTATATTATAACTAAAATTTACCTTCACATGCAGAATTTGATGCCTCTTCGACGGTGTTCTGCTTTGCCCCGATTTCATCATTGCCTTCAAAAACAATTGGAAGGGATTCGATTTCGACAAAATCCTCATCATTGTCATCATATGTGGCAAGGGTTCTAAATGGTTGATGGATTTCTGGAAGCTGCGACGGTTCACTTAGAACTAGTTTCTTAATTGAATCTATTTTCTTTTTAGATGATTTGTTTTTTTTTAGTTTCAGTGGTGAAGGCGGTGGTGTAATAGGTGTCTCAGAACTGCTGCTATTATTGCTCAGAGCAGGGCTCAGAGTCCTAGGCTTTCGAAATCGTTTTTCCGGAAGTAGCAAATCTTCCCCTCCAGTAAGAAAATCTGGATTGTCCGCTTTTTTTCGTGCCGTTTCCAAGGTAGCTATTAAAATTGAAATAAACATCAGTTCAGAAAATCAAGAAAGTGGCTCGCCCTTATAACTTTTTTGTGTTTTTATAAAATCAAATGAAATTTGGTTCATAAATGTGTTACATATTTATGTATTACTTGACATATTCAATTGTTTTCTGTCACTTCGAGTTTGACCGAAACCGCCCTAACTTTCTTATTTCAAATGGGACACCGAGTATATTTTTACTTATTGCGATAGAAAATGACATTCTGAGTTCAATGATATGTAATTTGTCACCTTATGACACTTAACCTGGAAATAAATTACATTTTCAATTTAGAAGGCCATGAATGGGTTTAAACAGTTAATTTTGTGATACAGCCTGAGGAAAAGAGATTTGAACATTTTTACTCTTTAAAATTTTGTACAAGTAAATTTGTCAAATCATATTTTTGACCTTAACTCATTTTTTTTTCAAATGAAACTAGGGTGGATCATTAGTACAGCTGGAAAGAGTAATTTATTACAAACGAGATTACAAATAACTTTATACCACACAATCGATATTTCAATTGAATTCTTTTTGAAAAGCTTATAAATTGAAAATTCAAATTGTTATTAGGTCAAAAAGTGACAAATGAGATGTCATTGAGCTTAGAATGTCATTTTCTATCAAAATGAGTAAAAATATACCCGGTGTCCCATAAGAAAGTTAGGGTGCTTTCCGATCAAGCCAGAAGTGTCAAAAAAATAAAAATAAAATAAAATAAAAAAAAACAAATGAATTTGTCAAATAATACATATTTATGTAAATATTACTTATTCACCAAATTTTATTTGATTTTATCAAAACACAAAAAAGATATAGGAGCCAGTTTCTTGTCACATTCGGTACTTACATGCATAGGCTTCCAGCTTCACCTCGTGAAGCACCCAAACTGATTCATCTGGTAGTTCACCTCGAACCATGAAGGGTTTTGCATTAATCGAATTTGGCCACCAGCAGTGCTTTCGATCTGGAGCCAGCCAGGAAGTAGGTACTTCCGAATAAATATTTTCAGCAGGGAAATAAATGACAGCAAATTTTTTCTCCATCTTAAAGCTAATATTGGCTTTTTTTATTTTCACTCTCACGCAAGTGATAACAAACAAAAAAAACAACAAATTACAACGGAGAACAAACAAATTGAATCTATAAGTCTATAAATAGTCCCAAAAAAAGTACCCAGCACTTTTTTTCTGGAAAATAGCAAAAGACATACAAATATACTAAACTATGGCAAAAGACATACAAATATACAAAACTAGCTAAATTATCATTTCGCAGTAAAACACTTAAAAATAATCCCAATAATTGAGAAAATATATTATCCTAATTTTGGTTATACAACGCAATTAATCAACCTACAATAAAACACTAATTTTTAAAGGTATATTAGCAGCTATTTACATTTCTAGTACTTGTATGTATTTCAAGAAAAAAAGTTACTTATTGTTATAGTCCGAATTATACCCATTTGTATTGGGTCATTCAGTTTCATAACAGGTACAGGGTGTCTGCTATAATTTGACACTCCGCCTACTGCGTTTATTTTAAGTTATATCAAAAAATGGTATATACAAAAGTTGTGGGGATTGTCCTTAACTGCCAGGATTTCTTGTTATGGTTGTTTTCAGAAAAATTAGGACTTCAAGATTTTTATTGAAAAAATAGGGTGTTCCTTAAAAAAAATACCTAACTTTGAATTTTTTTTATTTAAAGAGGCTCATTTGTTTAATATGACAGGAACTTCAGGCGTTTTAGGAGAATCCCTACACCTTTTGTTTTTACCATTTTTGGATATAACTTATAAAAAACCCGGTAGGTAGGGTGTCAAATTATAACCAGACACCCAAAAAAATTGCAACACGTTTTTAGTTCATATGGTGTAGAAGAGGTATAACAACCATATCACTCTCATTCACACGCAACCTTAAACACTTCTTAGAAATATCATGAATACTGAAAGAGACTGACTCTTTTGACAATTGACTATTATTGACTAATGATATTCCTAGCATGGTTGAATCACAGGGAACAGTAAAAAACGGTTTATTCTCTATATAATACTTACCTGAACATATAAGTTCATCCTGAGTAGTTTTAACAAAAGAATTAATTAGAACTATTGTATTGTTTTCAAGCATGCAGCAGTTTTCATTAAATTTGAGGGAAAATGTAGTAAACGATAATTCAACTTTAACTATTTTACTTTTCTTTAAAATAATTTTTGGATATTGAGTTTGCTCAGTTGGTTCATCAACTGCCATTTCTTCTGAAATGCGATTATATAATTGTTGCAGTGAAAATCTAGAATTTTGTAACATTTTTTTAAATTTAGTAAATTTATTTTCAAATTTGAATGCACTGAATGTATCCAAAGGACCAAAATTACGAGCATCTTCAACTATATGGATAAGGTTATGAACGTTATGCGTGTATTGGCCATAGCCAAAAAAATGACCGAACTTCTTTACATAATATCTCATTGATACTTTTGAATATTCTATATTTTCTGGGGTGATATTTTTTTCACATAAAAGTCTGACTGCAACTACCAAAGCCAAAAAATGCGAGTATGCTTTTTTACTTAAAATATCTTTCATAATTACGGGGCCAACATACAATAGAAATAATCTGTACTCAGTAGCTTTCCACATGGGCAAAGAAGTAAAGCTTCGAGGTTTTCTTGCGAAGTCGGATATTATGTACCCCCTAGGTGAAACATATAATTCCTCCAATCTAGATATTTGTGTTTTGGTCAGACGTACTTCTTTATTTCCATTTAGCCATAAAGTCAGAATTCTTTTTGTTACACCCAATAATATCAGGTGCATATAGTCTAAAGGAAACTGGGTAACCATATCTATATTTAAATCTTCAAAAACTGATGGCCCGGGATGGTGTTCAGGTTGCAACCTATTTCGAAATGACTGAGTTGTTCTGAGTGCTTCATTGGTCCTAACAAAAATAACCTTATTCTCAAACATATCACCCTCAGTTACACATTTTGTGCATGAAAAGTATCCAGTATGCCCCAAAATATTTAGCACAAATGCTTTTGCAGGAGCATCACAAATTATGCAATTAAGTTTAATTTTAATTTTTTTGCTGTTAATAAGAAGTCCATTAAGTTCCAATTCCCTGTATTCTTCAATGAAATGTTTTAAAAATTCCCTACATCCTTAGGTTTACTAGAACCATGAAAAATCCCAATAGTGAAAGGATCAGTGTGGATACCTTTTAATAAAACATCGCCCAATATTGGCCAAAGTTGACTCCGAGATGATTTTGCTACTGGGAGACCATCAATGTTGATATTTAATTTTAAAATATCATCAGAATAATAATTATACTTTTTTATAACTCTAATTATATTTTCAGTAAGGCCAAAATGTAAATACGTGCCACCATCTAATTGATATATATTATGTGTACCTGATCTAGGTGTACTCATAAACGTTCTTGCGTCCTTTGGTAAATCTTCATGTCCATGTTTTCGTAAAGTGGGGAGAATATCAGCAATTAAACTTTGGGAAGCTCCATGCTTAACAAAGTTTTCTTGCAGGTCTTTTGATAGGGATGACTGGTGAAACAAATTAGGACAAATGAATTCATTCTCATCAAAATGACTTTGGGACTTTATGAGATTTTGATTAACATTATTAAATGAAGGGGGACTATCTGAATCTAGAGTGAATGATTGGAGTTGGTCATCATTTTGATCAGTATAAGAAGCTTCAGGTATCACAACTGTCGGCTCCACAGGCGACAAAGAAACAAGAAGAGCTGGGTTTAAATTAGATGAGAGATTAAAAGAAGATGGTGGTTTAGAATTTGAGCATGATGGGGTTCGCATTAGTTTATTTTTCTGTTCCTGGAATTCTTGATTTAATAACCTCTTTTTTTGTCTTTCTGATAAATCCACGAAATCTCGAGGCATTTTATAATATTTTTAAAAAATGTATTTTTGGAAAAACTACTTCAATAAGTATTTAAATGTACAAAGAAAGTAGGTACAATGTGCAACACCTACAAGAAAATATGTAGGTGGGTAGTTTTAAAAAGTTAATTTGATCTTAAGTTTGTAAAAACTAAATTAAAATGATTTCTTCAAAATATAAAAACAATTAAAACTAGATACCTACTTACCTAGTTTCCTAGTTATATCAATAGAATAAAGAGGTAACCAGAGTGGAGAAAAGATCAAAATAGTATAGGCGATTTTACCATAAACAGGTGCTCTGCACTCTACACTGAAGTCATGACTGAAGTGCACATGGTGGTACTGAAAATTTAATGTAGGTATAGGTATTATTTTAGTCGAGATTTTATAGTATTTACTTATAAATGCTTTAGTATTATTAAGACGGTCTACTGAATAATGTATTGGGCAGATTGGGCTATTAAAATGAAAAATATATGTCTTTGGAGTGTTTTTCATGGCTGAACTCATTGGTGTTAATCTCGGTAGTGTTACTACTACGCGCGCTAATTTTAAACCATGAACAGTGGATGCTTAATCCAAAACATTACTAGCAAGTTAAATAATCTAGATCTTGAATCTATCAATTTCTAAGATAAGGCCCTCGATAAGGCCCATAGAAGTCAGTTTGAAAATAATGCCTAATATAAATTAACCAATTGATTAAAGGCCAGTCCGTTATTTTTGGCTCCCTGAAATTTGATAGGCTGTTTCGAGGGCTGTTTATTTAATTTGGGTTTTGAATATCTCGAAGTCAGTAGTACCTTAGTACCTATTGCCTGCTTTATGCCTCAAAATTAAAACTAAGAATTAAACTAATAAACTATAAGTTCCAAAGTTAAAATTCGTTTTCGTAGGTTTAACCATTTATACCTCCAATTAAACTATATTAAAAATTAGGTACACTTAAATTTTAACACGATAACCAACTTTCAACTAAGTATTACGGAATCGTTCTAATTTGTAAATTCATACTTATTCAATTCAGGTTCAGTAATCGAGGGCATGTATCAACAAAGTTAGGTAGGTATTTATGATTTTTCAATTTCAAATAACACAATATTTTCTTTTTTTTCTAACCTAACCTCAAGTTTATGTTGTTGACAATAATTATTGTGCTTTAAATCAGATATCGGGTCAATGATATCATGCTACTAGTACTAGCATGCATTTGCAATGTTTACTGTGGCCTACGTTAAAAGATAATTTAATTTTTATTCTTTTATTTCCTAATTCCGACTTCCAGAGGTTTAGAGCGGGCATATAACATAAATGAAATCAGCACATTCAGAATCATCATATATAGGTAAATACTCGGATAAATATAGGAATCACGACTATAAAATAACCTCAGCAATTTAGATGAAAGAAAATGTATGTATACATACCTGATTATTAGTGATTATCTAAATTAAATTATTCAAATTGTTCACACACAAAAATCTCACTTATCCCTCAGAAAAAAACGGAAAAATCTCACCCAAACGTTTTCTACCAAGGCAAGAAAGAAAAGAACCGGATAACGACATAACCACACTTTTGTGACTTTTGTCAATTTTGTGCAGCGTTGCCACATGGTTGCCACCCATATTACTCTGCAGCGTTGCCACTCATATTACTCTGTACCGTTCGTCGTTTGGGAGTTGATACTCGCTAGCAGGACCAGTAGTATAAAAATTTGATTTCTTAATATAATATTCAAAAAATAATTGCATATTTATATATCAGTTATAATTAAATGATTGATAATTTGATGATTGATGGATTATGTCAATAAATTATGTAAATATTACATAACAAATATAACTTAAAATTAAAGTTACACATTTTAAGTAAGATTTACTTTCTTTTGGTTACGTAAACAGTATATTAAATATTTTAGGTAAACAATACATATTAACAGTTACAAATCTTTAGTTCACATAGTATTTACGTAAGCTTGACATAAAACTGATGCTGGTAAAAAAATGATCTTGGATTTATATAAACCTTATGTGAATGTCACAGATGTGTTTACTGGGTGGTGAGTTTTTCAAAATCGGCTCTTGCCGTGCGTAGTTTCCTGTCTGC